TGGGGCTGGGGCTAGTAGAATAATAGGAATGGGAAAAGTAGTAGGAATTGGAATTTAAGTTATTTTAACTTGAGCCAAAGGATTAATAGGAGAATGAACTCGACTCTCTAATGTAGATTGAGTTTGGATTGGGCTTGTTGGAGTGACAAGTAGGGATGTAAACGAGTAAAGCCTGAGCGAGCCTAATATTTGTTCTTGTTCGGATCGTTCGAAATTCTATTGGCTTGAAATAGGTTCGTTGTCAAAATGACTCGTGAATAAAATGTTCATGTCCGACTCAATTCAAATTCGTTTGTTCGTTTTAGCTCGTGTTTTGCTCGAAATTTGCTCTAGTTAAGGCTGCAAATGAACCGAGATTATGCAAGCGTAAAGTTTTAAAATATTATTCAAGCTCGGCTTGAACTCGACTCGAGCTTGAATAATCGAGGAACTCATTTAGCTTTTATTCCGTTTAGCCTCGACCTTCTTATTTAGTTTTTCTGGCAAAACTTATAAAATTATTGATAAATAATAATTTATTAAAATTTAATATATCAAAATAACATAATTAAAATTTGAAATTAATTTTTAAAAACCTTTAATGGAAGGAAAGAAACTCAATATCTCCAACTTTCACAGTCGCGTGCAACTAAAAGTTTTCATACCAATGTGCTACTTTTTTACATTTAAACATCATTGATAAAGAATTTATTCCTGATGTGAGATTAAATGCATTAAGGATAAGTCGTGAAAACATCACGGCCGAATTTTTTTATTCAAATTCGTTTGTTCGTTTTAGCTTGTGTTTTCATCGAAATTTGCTCCAGTTAAGGCTGCAAATGAACAAAGATTATTCAAGCGTAAATTTTTAAATTATTATTCAAGCTCGGCTTGAACTCGACTCGAGCTTGAATAATTGAGGAGCTCATTTAGCTTTTATTCTGTTCAGCCTCGAGCTTCTTGTTTATTTTTCCTGGTAAAACTTATAAAATTATTGATAAATAATAATTTATTGAAATTTAATATATCAAAATAATGTAATTAAAATTTGAAATTAATTTTTAAAAACCTTTTAATGGAAGGAAAAAAACCCAACATCTCCTCCAGCTTTCACAGTCGCTTGCAGCTAAAAGTTTTCATGCCAATGTGCTACATTTTTACATTCAAACATCATTGATAAAGATTTTATTCTTGATGTGAGATTAAATGCATTAAGGATAAGCTGTGAAAACATCATGGAGAAATTTTTTTATTGCAAAAAATTGACATACATGCCACCTAATTCTTATATATATATATATATATATATATTAAAGAAGAATAGTCTAAAAACAATGAAAACTTCAGCATCTAACTCAGCTTAAAATAACAAACTAATGAAATATCAAACTACTCCTAGTTGAAGTAAAGATAAAAGGTTGTGATTCATCAAACACACACATCAAAATTCAATCTTGTAATTCAGATTCTTCAGCGGAGTTCTCTTCCTCTCAAACACACGTATCAAAATTCAGTCTTGTAATTCAAATTCTTCAGCAGAGTTCTCTTCCTCTCAGAATTTATGAATTTGTCATTCAACTTCTGCTTGTTGTTTGAATCGAGTTTGCTGCGGCTCAGACACTCTAAATCTTGTTGCTGTTTGATCACAGATTTTTTCTTCTCCGATTTCGTTATATTATCGTTCAACTTCTGCTTGTCGCTTGAATCAAGTTTGCTGCGACTCAGACACTCTAAATCTTATTGTTTGATCATCATAGATCTTTTTTTCTCCTCAGTCTTAGGTTCGTTCACCATTTGCTTGTACATTGCCCTAAGCTTCGTCAAACTCATAAGCTCCAAGTTCTCTCCTTTGAGGAAAAGTTCCTTCTCCGAAGCTTTGATCATGGTCTCTTCCTTCTCTTCTGCCATCTCTGTCGTGGCTATTGGGACTTGTTCAGATGGCTGAGTTTGAAATATGGATGGTTCTAACAAAGACCTGGTTTCAGACTCACATGAAAGCTTGAGAGGGGAACAAATGGTTTCTAAGGAGGTGGATGAGAACTCAACGCATAATAGCAGGGGAAGGAATAGGAATCTGCGGTTTCAGAAGAGACATCTTATGTATGTGTGTGTGTGTGTGTGTGTGTGTATAACACCTCAATTTTATTTCTTACATTTATACAAATCAGATCGATATCATATCATAG